TAGTGTAGTGCGTTTCGGTCTAACAACTTGAACTTAATCCCTTTGAACGCGTCGATCTTCTCTTTTTCTCTGCACTCTCTCGTCCGCATGGCACTCTATGGCCGTTGTGACTTCGCTCACTCCAGCTTTTCACCGACTATAAGTAGCTCACCCACCCCGGAGTCCCCTCCCCTTGAAAAATCCCGTTTCCTGGCTCGCCATACGTTTTTTGCACGTTTCGATGCTTTGGCAGCCGCTGCCCTCTATCCGTCTGCGTCACAGGGTTTCGTAACAGGACCATGCACAAAAGTTCAAGATGTCACGTAACCGTGCGTTTCGTCTCAAGGCACTTGTCAACCGGGAATCTCTTTCCTTTTTTCTTCCTCCTCCTTCTTTTCCTTCCTTCCTTCTCTGATCCCTCCTCCTTTACCTTCTCCCTTCAACTACTGGACTGGTAGATGCCTCGTGAAAATACCCCTCCCCCGCATCGAGAGCAGTTCTGGTTGACAAGAGCCCCGTTCATGGGCACGAGCGCGGTCAGCAAAAAGGGCATGCAGTTCCGATTAATGCCCGCCGCCCCAACAAAGAACAACTGAGCGGCTCTCCGTCAGAGGGCATCTAGCAAGTGGGCGGTCCAACTGGGCGGGCGTTAGAACTAGAACTTTCAGCGGCTGTAGCTCGCTCCTCGCTCGCTGTGGAGTCGCGAGAGTGGGACAGTCTCTAGCTTGGGGGCTGAACTACTTGCACAAGGAAGACGACCATGTACTATACTAGAGCGCAGGGGCTGTCTTCGAAAGGCAGGTTCCGCGATCATGGTTCGTGAGTAATGGGGTCAAACACTAACGGCAAGTTGGCAAGCAACTCAGCAGTGAAGAAGAAAAAACAGGAAAATCGTTCGAAATGAGCTAAATAGGAGCTTCAGCGGATCAAGACTTGTGGGAGCATTACGCGAAGAGACCACCACCTTGGACGAATGCTCAGTTGTCGGCTTCATGAAGACATCAGCTCTTTTCGCTTGTTGATTCACTTTTACCACTTGAAATAAAACGAGATAACTGGAGAATAACCGCACCAGCAGTCTGCCTTTTGAAACGAATGTAGTGCGGAGCGCTGAACAACGGGCGGAGCACTAGCGTTACCATGAGCGCCTAACGTCCTTATCACGCGTTTTATCATACGAATGAGATGTTCATTGCACATGCTTGGAATTCGTTATGCACGGCTGTGCACTTCATTTTATTATGACGAAGGGCAAGTTTTTCTTTACAGTTGCAATTTTCTAAAATAAACGCCAAAATCTCGGCCTCCGTCACTTTCAAATGAAGTACTTGACTAAGCCCACCACAAGGGACCTGGGTATGTTTGCTTGTGAACTGGTCTACCTCGTTCAGGGAATGCGCTTGCACACCAGGTGATCGCGTTACGTTCGTTTAGGTGGTCTTCTTATAGCGCTTTCATGGCCATCCATCTGCGTTTTTCTTGCACAGGGGCAGAGTTAACAGTAGACCCATCTCTATATTTGCTACCTAAGTCTTAAGTCGGATGTCGACACCTACTGGTGTCGTTGTTGACTCAGTGCACTGAACGAAGAGCACTTATATTTCTTTTT